ACCAAAAATAATTTCTAACTAAGACTTAATCAAAATTATTACAACCTTAATACAACTTAAATCCTAACAGAGTAGATTCTTCCTTGCAACACCACTGAGAATATGATCATAGAACGAATTATTCTTTATTACAATTCTTGAAAAATGGTTGTAAGGATGAGTATTAATTGCCCCACTAAATCCTTTATTTTATGATCACGTTAATCAATGCATTACAATATATGCATTATAATTACATCTGTCGATGTATTACAATACATGTATTATAATCACACCAATCAATCTATTACAACACACATATTATAATCATAAGATCACTGTATTATAACATGGATATCACAATTATACATTCATTGTCCCTGAGATCTCTTGAGGTCTTCATAGTATAAATAGTTATTGGTTAGCAGCAGTAATACAGATACAATGTGTGTCGACCCTACCCCTTTTAGCAAAAGTAAGATCAAGAGTATCTGTCAGAAAATGAGTGTGAGGCATGTAATGCTTTCATTCTCAGCAGTTTGTGTGCAATTAAAAAAGAAAAACATTCACCACCTTACATTTCCCTAAGTTTTTCCAAAATCAACTCTATCTTCCACACTTCCAGTATATCTCTGTCACTATTTATACACATTTCCATCACTTTTTCATGACACACCATTTTCTCAATAATTCTTTTTTCATGATTTCCTTTCACATTCAATCATTTTCACACTTACTTAACAGTTCAAACAACAGTTTATACAAATCCATATTCTTAAATATTCACACCAATAGTCATTCCAATTTTCTCTTACATACGATTAATTTCACATTAACAATAATACACAATCATAATAATATTCCATTGAATTATAATTAAATCATCAAATAATTTTACTAGAGGTCGAACATCTCTAGACTCAACTCCAATTGTAGAGTTAAAACATATTAAAATTAAATCACATACTATAGTTACATTATCGAAGATCACTCTCTTAGTCTTTAATAGAAATCATTTATCCTAAAGTTTAGCCTTTTCCTCAGTACACATTGTTCAAGATAATAATTCACAATGTCAACCATGCATACATAATAATCAACAGCAAAATCCTAGAAACTTCTTAAAACATGTTTTGTAACATCTCCAATTTCTGTTAGCATGGTCGGGATTGTTAATTATTAATTGGTTACTCTTTGCTTCATTTTCTTTGCTCTAGCTTACTTCTTGCTGTGAATTAGGATGTTTCTTAATATTTGAATTTTTTTTTTTTTAGCTTCTAAATTTTCGTGATTTATTGTCCAATCATATTGTGTCCCTTGCTTGCATCATTATTTCTCCTAGGATATGTTTATTTATTTTCGTATATGCATAACTATAAAAATCGTGTGATGAATTACCTTGAGCAACCCTAAGAGAGTACGATAATTTTTTATATTTTTTTTTGGAAAAAAAAAGGGATAACCATTGATTTGGATGGATGGGCCCTGCCCTCCTGATCACTTGAGTAATATTACTACAAATTGTTATTGCCTAATGTTAGCCCTGTTTTATTTTAATTGGTTATATAGCATTGTTATCTTATTTAGGGATTTTAAGAGAAATATTCGTGTGACCCTTACCCTCCCTAGCCTCTTACCCAAATTACCCACCTGACTTTAGCCCAGATTTGCATGAGTCTTTTCCATAATATCATACACCCTATTTTCACGTGTGAATAAAGAGGGAATTAGGAGAGGCACCTTAATGACATTCGTATACCCTCTCTCTTAATTAGGGCAACCGAATCCTGTTTAAATGCATGTGGGGAAGAGAGAGAATCGGTTTTAATGACCAGAATCCTGACCTTAATGATTGCACTTAATGCAATATTCAAATTCCTAGTTACCCTAAATACATGCAGCCGCCACCCGAAAACCATTGCATTTTGATTGGCCATTGTTTGAAAATTTCTCATTTATGGTGTAACCAAAAATAGAGCCCTAACCCTTTCCTTTCTCTTATTGATACTTGTTTAAAATTAAATTGAATCCGCATGAGTCCCTTCGTGTTCCCCACTCTCACGTGCACCAAATAAACCCTTAGGGTGAAATGCTTCTATTAAATTAGGGTTAAGAGTGGAAGAACTCAAAAGGCACCTTAAATTCTCTAAATTTCCCTAGTTACCTAAGTTAACTATGACCGCCACACATGATGATTTTTTGAATATTCCCTCCTAATTGGTGCAACCGAAATTAAAGCCCCATTCTTCCCATTAAATGCAAAATTTTGTTTTCATATGTGGGCTGACTCTTCACCTTAATTCAGCATTTAATTTGCCTCTCACCTAAATTAATTACCATGAGGATGTGAAAAGACGCCTGCCCCATTCCCTCCTCAAGTAACCCAAACCGTGGCCAGCTTTTAATGGGCAAGCTAATCAACACAAAAACGTCCCACCTGGAACATTTATTCCCCTCAAACTGTGCCCAGCATTCATGTTATGCTCTCTCCATTTATTGGTTGTAATTATTATTTTGTAGAGACTCTTGCACTTGCATGGCCATGAAGGAAGTGTCACTCTTTTCCTAGCCGCCCAAAGAACTCGACTTTTTAAGTACAGGGAATGCTAAGGGTTTGAATTTATTTCTTCCCCATAAGAACTTGAAACCGCCACCTGCCCATTTAAGGATAATGAGTCAACGTGAGAAGTTATTACCTGGTGCAATTAAAACCCTAAAATCATGCCAACCATTAATTCCTTCCTTAATTTCTTTCCATTAATTCCATATTCTCATTTCTTCTTTTATGGCATTTACTACTCATTATGGAGGCTTTTCACCCACCCACAATTAGGAGAGAAGGCGCCACCTTTACCACAATGTAGGCTAGGAGCCGCAACCCTTCATGTGACTAGAATATAGAGAGTTTAGAACCCCTTTCCCCCATCAAAAAATTTAGTGGCCACCTCGCCTTAATTGCGTAGCCTTGAGGAAACCAACTCACCATTCACGATTATGTTCTTCTAATGATTGATTGTTGGATAAGTGTGGAACATTAAATGTTGCTTCCTTTCCCACTCTGAGCATTTAATGCTTTAATGGGACGTTTCACCTACACCAGAGCACCAGGGGGCGTGACCGTTCCAAGGAGAAGGCAAAAAGGTTGTGCCACTTCACTTAACCTAACCCTAAAACCTTCCCTTGTGCAGCTCTTGACTGCCAGCCCTTTTGAGAGATGAAAGGACCTAAACCTTACACTCATACTATAAAAGAGTTTCCCTTTTTTCTCACGCGCCCTTTTCCCTCTCTTTCATTCCAAAAACGCTCTCAACTTCATCACTTCTTTTCTCTCTCTCGACATCTTTTCACATCTATACTAAACTTTCTACTCTCTTTCTCTCGTGAGCAACACGTTCCACCATCACCCTCTCAAAGAGACAACGAACATCAAGGAGCTTTCATCACCGCTTGCACCCTTCTTTCAAATGGTTGTGCTGCTACAAAGGTCTCAAGTTGTGATCGAAATCCCACAAGCACCAAGGTTGAATCTTCCACTCCTTTTCTCGTTCTCAAACTAAGCAAGGTTACGGGAGTTCTTAACTGCATGTGAATGAGTGTGCATGTTCAAATATGTGTAGTTGAATGTGATGTATTTTCTTCTTCGTCTTCGTCTCTATTGTTGTTAAAAGGTTACATGCAAATGATCTCCTCTTCATCTCCTAACTTCCTTATTCGAATAATACCAAAAATAGTATAATGAAACTCGAATGAGTGTGAATAAGTGAAAATATTGTTTGCATGTCATTGATGCTGTAAACCTTGCATGATCCTTGCTTGTTCGTACTGGTCATTGAATAAAAATGATGACTTTAGATGGTTTTATTCTTGCATGATAAATTTTCGTGATACAACATTTCATCCTCTCTCAGTTCTTGTTGTTTATCTTCTTTTTGAATCTTTTATCATAAAATCATTTTTTTCTCCCCACCTATTTTTTTTTTTCCATTTAGCCGAGAGCCAAGGAACTCTATTTCGGTTGAAAATGAAAATTGTTTTATTAATAAACCATGGATGTTGCCGATTTCTAACTTAAAAATCTGAGTGTTGCATGTGGGATTAAGTTACGATTATTTTATAAAATTTTCATAATGCCTGTGCAGACAATGTATTTCTGGGTTTGGATATCTTGTTGAAGTTGTTACATTCATCTCCATCTTATTCCATTTTCTTCTATTTTTTCCCGAATACACGTGCACACTTCTCCTTCTGAATGCGTGAACCCTTTTGAGTGTGCTCTGATTTCACCTTATCATTATTATTACGTGGGTATTCCACATACATGATGTGGGGGACGGAGAGTCAAGGACACAGTTTGGCATAGTTGGGGAATGTGAGTGTTCAGGTTCGAGGGAAGAACCTTGGGGGTAGTGGAGGGGGGTTGCCCCAATGGTGCAGAATAGCTCACCGCGGCCAGGACACGTCGCCATCGAAGCCTCCACTAATCCTAACGCGAGCAAGCATTACCAGGATCTGGGAGGACTCATTCCTGAGGAACCGAAATGGTAAAATGGGAGAATATCCCTGATAGATTATGTACGATGTGTGCTTGTAGGGAATGAGGGCCTCTGATCACCTTGACTGGAGGAATGCTGGAAATGGAGGAAGTAGTGGTGTTCTAAGTTGCATTGTCTAACTTGCATTACTAATTAATTTCTGTGAATTTACTTGTGCTTCTTGGTTGTCAGGTAGATATTAGATTGAGACTATATGCTTACTGGAAATCTGATTTTGTTAATATTTGCATGTCATTATAACTATCTTATTCATTTGATTTCTGAGGGATACTTGTTTCGGAGCTCACCCTTTCTATTTTGTTTTGGTGCGGTGTTTTGTTTTTGTTGTTGTTGTTGTATTGCATGATCGTGTGACAGATAGACCCACTCCGAGCGAGTATATGGGGAGAGGACTCCGGAGGGAAGGAGGGATGAACGTACGACCCAGCAACGCACCGCCTCATGTACCAAGGGATGATCTCCATGACCATGGGACCCCTCGCTGAAGACGGATGGAAACATACTTGGAACGACCACATTTTTGCTGATATCTCCGTACCCTTACCACCTGAACGGAGTATCATTATTCATTCACCCCCTTCTTCTCCATCATCTCAAGAACCCCCTGCCAAACGACTCAAAACTTTTGTGGATAAAGGTAAGACCATCATTAACCTTGACCCCGAACCTACCCCCTGTCCCAATCCTGCTCCTGCACCCGCACCTGAGTGGAAAGACATTGGAGTTGTAGAGTCTTCCGTCAGGCCAGTAACCGGTCATTCTCTTAGTATTCAGGCACCCCCTTCTGAGGAAGCCAGACCTTCCACCCGACGCCCTTCACCACCACCACCCACTTCACGATCACCACCACCTACCATCAGTTGGATCGACAGCGACCCTGACGACTTGCTGCCCTCCCCTCGCCCTCAGCCCGTGGACGATGCATCTAATTCTGATGGATTGGAATCCAATCCTAGTGAGGATTCCTTTCCATTAGAGTTTTATTTGTAGATTGTTATTTTCTTTATCATGGATGAACACTGCTTCTAGGTTTTTGGATTGTTTTGTTATTTTGAAATACTGAACTTTGGGGGTTTTTGTTTTAAGGTAGTTTTACCTTGAATCGTTTGAATGGAGGACCTATATAAATATACTTTCCTTTTTACCTACATGCTTCTCATTGTGAATTTAGAATTTTATTCCAAATGATATATTTATATGATGTCATGCGCTTATCTCCACTATTTATAGAAGATCATTCTAGAAAATTTAGGGTCGATAATGAAGATGATTGACATATTGATAAAATGTTGGAATAATTTAAAATATATACTTTGTGATGAACGGACTAAAAAGAAGATACCTTGTCATGATTATTATCTCGATTTAATTAGATTTGTACACTAAACTGAATTTTATTACGGATAATAGTGTTTACGCCTTGGAGTGAACCGTGAGGATCGAAGTATGACGTCTGTTCTCTTGTGATAAAAATCGCAATGCTGTGTAGATTTGCTATAATGTTGATTAATTGATCTCTGGTTTACATTTATTTTTGGGTGCACCATTTTACAAGAGTCTTGAATTAGGGTATTATGAGATATGATCCTAGCATAAATTTTAGGTGTTCATAACTTTTACTATAAAATTTTGTTTGGGTAGTTCTACAAACAAATCATAGGTTTTTGTGCCCAAGAATCTATTTTTAACACTGTAGTTTTAGGAAAACATTAGAGCTATACTATCTAAAATAGGAAAAAATGTGTTTTTAAATAAGAAACATGTAAATCGGAGTTAGAATTTGGGATCAACTCCCCTTACCTGGAAATGAGTCTCTCACAACCAAAAGGACGAGAGATGGTGTCTCTAAGACTAAAATCTCCTTAGGATTCAGAAGAAAGTGCGATGTTTCGAAGAAGATATTGTTCAAAGACCAAGTTCTTCCTATACATTACGAAGTATAGTACTTTTGAGAAAAGAGAAAATACAAAAATACAAAAATAAGATTGAAGGATTAAGCTCTAAGGAACTTATTTGGAATTGAGAGGAAAGGGAATTTGGACTTGGATTCAAAAGTAGTTTGGAGTTTGAGAAGGGTTTCTCTAAGAAAAGAAGTGGGACAACGAAGAAAGAAGTGAGTAAGAGGTTCATTAGCTTACAATACAAGTTTTAGAGTGAAAATTTCTTAATATCCTTTAAAACTCACGAATTCCTATTTGAGTGAGAGTATTTTTGCTTGAGATAAAAGAAATATTCTTTCTTTCTTTAGAAAACTCTTGCATTTTGTAAACAAGAAAATGCAATTGAAAATTTAGGGTGTTACATATGGAAGTTATTCTCATTCTCCTCTTCCATCACAAAATTGTGAAAACTACAAGAAGCACAAAAAGGGAGTGATCTACAATTTGTTTATAGTTTTGGTTAAGAATAAATTCATTCTTCAGGACTTATTATAGACGATTTAGGATATGATGATGCATGTGTTTGAGATTATTTTTGGGATTTATTTGTCATATTTATCATAAATAAAGTTTTAACCATGTATGTGTTTGTGAAACTATGATGGGTTCCTATGGCTATGTTTCACATATTGTTTTCTTTTATGTATCTATGGTTGAAACCTATGTTGTTACAAAGAAAATAGATGTTTGCTATGCATTAGTATTATGCTTCTATTTATCTATGATTGAAACAAAGGTTGTTGCAAAAAAAATGGATACTTGTTATGAAGTCTTCAGAAAATTGTTGTGTCTAAGCTTAATGAAATGAGTTTGATGGCTAAAATGACATGAAACATACTGAAACTATGTGCTTTGAATGAAAAAAATTGTTGAATGATCACCATGATAAGCATTGAGTGTACACAAAGTATGAAACAAAGAAAAGAATAACAGCATAGCCTGTACTGTAGGTATCCCGAAAACCTTTAATCGATAATAGAGTATATTAACAAATGTGTTCGAAAATGTTGCTAACATTTTTCATAAGAAAATGCTCACTTGATGTGTTTCCTCTGTGCATGTTATAGAGTTGGAAGCATTCATGATGAAATGATCTTATTGCACAACACAATTGCACAAATACTCAATCACAAGGCATAGAAGTATGTAGTTGCACGCTTGTGCATAGCCACAAACATCAAAATTCTTGTACAGCCACCACAAACAGACAAGAGTTCAAGCCCTAAGCAATGGGCTAGTACGCACATAAAATTAAGCCTAATCCAATTTTAATATGCGCGGCCCATGATCTATCACCATGACTAAAACTGTGACCTTAAATATCCTCTAAAAGGTATTAGATGTTGAAATATCAAGTAATTCGAATTAAGAAACAGACTCTCCACTTATAGTTTCTCTGTATCTAGAAGGAGCATTATTCAAAATTGAAGCTACTTCTATAAGACACTAGACATAGAGCAAGCAACCACTCTAAGAGAGGCACGAGTAAGCCAATTCCTTTTCCTCAGAAAGCTCTCCTGCTGTCAAGTCCAACTTGTTTCTTGAAAACTCATCAATTGGAAGTCCTGTGTAAAAAAGTTGAGGAATTATGTCTCAGATCAGATGCATATATCCAAAATTTAGAACCACAAATACTGATTGGGATAAACTTTGGAAAAAAAATCTATAATTTTATAATTTTCCAAAGCTTCCATTCCTTTTAGCTTACGAGAAATGGACTGTAATGTAATATCCATGTTTTAAGACTTTTGCCTGTTTTCCTTTTTGGAAAAATTGTGTAATTATGATAAAAAAAATCTTATTTAAAAAAATTAAGGCCAGAATAAACTGGTCCATAATTTCAGTTGCACTAGAAAGCATCACATCAAGTACAGGGATTGTTCATTTAAATTATTTTAGCAACATTTTCATCAAGAGTGTAAAAAGGTTAGAGCAAAGAACATACACTGACAACTTAAGAGGGAGCCATTATGCCCCCACTAAGTGACAAAACATTTACCTTGAACTATTTTCCATTCCCCATTTGCACAAGTGACAGGGAATGAATAGATCAATCCAGCTGGTACATTGTAAGAACCATCAGAATATACTCCCATTGATACCCAGGTCCCCTAATATTGCAACAAAAAAGAATGAGTTGAGTTCGAGACACATACAGAAACTGAATTAAAAATTAAACAAAAACCTAACTAACCTGAGGAGTTCCAAGAACCCAATCTCTAATGTGATCACAAGCAGCACTAGCAGCAGATAGAGCGCTTGAAAGCTTTCTAGCTTTAATAATTGCAGCACCACGTTGTTGAACAGTAGTTATGAATTCCCCATTCAGCCTTGATAAAGAACAGCAATGCTTCAATGAACAAAATTAAAAAAAAAAAAAAAATGTATTTGCTAAAGTTTTAGTTCACATAATATTTGTCACATACCAGGCATCATCAGCAACAAGTTCACGGACAGGCTTCTCTCCTGCTGGGGTTTGAACAGTTGCATGGTTAACATCAGGATACTGAGTTGAAGAGTGATTACCCCAGATTATAACATTTTTAACATCAGAAACTTGAACGCTCAATCTTTCAGAAATTTGACCCAGCGCCCTGTTGTGATCCAGTCTAGTCAAACAAGAAATGTTTTTCTCAGGAATAGATGGTGCAAATTCTTTCAAGATCAATGCATTGGTGTTTGCTGGGTTAGCAACAACAAGAACCTGCAAGATATTGCAAAATCTTTTATAAATATTCCCAAAAACACAAAATTGAAACACATTAAAAGAAAATAAAAAAATATATATACAGTAGACATTTCATGAATATGAGTTACATTCCATCATGATGGAATCACAAGGACTTCACCATACAGAATACACCTACACATAAGTGAATTAGAAGGAGCTTTTTCCATGACACCCAATTCTTATGAAAATTTGCATCTCCTAAAAGTGGTCAAAGTCTTAAACACAAGTACAAGAATTCAACATAATTGCGAAGATACAACTAAATTCATTGCAACTCCAAATATCTTCATTGGTCTTACATCTAGCCAATCTCATTAACCAATATATTAATAGTTTTCAATTACAAGACAAAACCAAAACACCACATGTAACTTGACCAAAGTATCAAAAACGAAAAAAAAAAAAACGAACACATAATGAAGTAGAAGTTTGACTTAAAAAACTGTAGAAGTTAAAGTTCGTTAAGAAGAGCCCAAGGAACCAGTGAAAGGAATTACCTTGCAGTTGGCAGCAGCATGTTTTTCGAGGGCTGAAGCCTGGGACTTATAAATGGAGACATTTTTAGACATCACATCTTTCCTCTCCATACCTTCTTTCCTTGGGAATCCACCAACCATTACTGCAATATTGACCCCAGTGCATGCCTCAACCACGTCAGTGGTAGCAACAACACCTGAAACAAATAATTGCACCCAAAATCATAACACTGTTGATTATATATAAGAAATGGAAACAAACCTTTTCCAAGTCCAAGATTGCTATCCATAACATTTATGAAATATTTAACAAGGAAGGGCAATTCAAAGTTCAAACCTTTAAGAAGAGGGAATGCAGCATCCACCAATTCCATTTTAACTCCGTTCAAAGACTCTGCTGCTGGAGGAATGTCAAGCATATGGAGGATCACAGGCTGGTCAGGACCCAGCATCACTCCCCTAGCAATCATAGGAACAAGAGCATACCCGATTTGCCCTACAATTGATAAAGCATTTTATTAGTACAGAAAAGTTATGAGAAGCAAATAATCAAATAATTCCATCATAAAACCAATTTGTCTTTCATGGAAAAACTCCACCCAACAGAAGTCATTGTAAATCATTGAGGAAATCAATTAAGAAAGCTAATAACTGTACATATATCAAATATCAATTTAATCAAAATGATCAACGCTTTTATTTTCAGTTCACTGAAAGTAAATCACAGCAACATTATTTTCAAGTGCAACAAAACAAAGACAACTAAGGGATAGATAGTTTCGGAGGAGGGTTTTGAAATTGAAGGGAGGAGAGGGCAAATTTTTATTTTAAACTAACAGAATTATATATCATTTAAGATAATAAATAAACGGTTAATACATTATATTTAGGTTAATCTATCATTATATATCTTAAATTTAAACAATTACCAAATTAAAACATATTTGTTTGAAATGGAAACCTCCAGCCCCCCCTCCCAAAAAAATCACTATGGGACTACATCCCTCCCTTAACAGTAATTATGGTCAATTTTCCACACTATTACAGTGTAAGATGTTTCTTATTCATTCATAGAAAAGATACACAAACGAGACAGCAAGTGACAATCGGAGGTAACTAAGGAAGGACCCAAGATGACACTAGTTTCAACTTTTATTTCCTAATAATGCAACGTAACACACAAGCCAGTTCATAACAAAGCCAATCATAAAAAACACAGTTACATTAGAATTCCTAGCGAGGTATTAAAAACAAATCACTGATAAGCATATCTACATAAAAATATCACAATACACAGGCATAAAGCATCATCATTCATTACAGTATCAGATCTGAAGCCTGAGCAGATCAAGACCCGAACAAAAACAAAGACAGCATTTTGACACAGACCCGGAATTTTAAATCATCAAACCAGCCCAAAAGCATGGTCAGATCACAGATCTTGCTTACAAAAACTGAAATTTGAAATCAAGAATGGGTTATGAGTCGGAAATATAGAAACAGCAGAGAAAAAGATTATAGGGGTGAAAACAATACCTGCAGCACCAGTGACGAGAACACGAACTGGATCTTTGGCCATTTTCAAAGAAATGGGATGAATCGGAGAGAGAGAGGTTTGGGTCGATGAAAATCGAAGGGAGTGTTGGAGAGTGTGTGTGAAATGGAGATGTACTTGTGTAATGTGTATATATTTTGTGTGGAGATAGCGTTACCACGATACCACCTCGTGAAACGACGCCGCTTCACTAGGGTTAACTTTAACGGCGCGGAATACAGACACAGCTGTATTGTAAAAGAGAAAAATCAGCTTTCTATTTTTTTTTTCTAAATACTACAATTTTTTTAAAATAAACAAAAAAATGTTTTTAAAAGAAAAATCAAAGTCTCTAATTCTCCATAAAGGGTTATTGGAAAAGATGTTCTCAATCTTTTTGGGTTAGAATAATAAAGTGTCATAAAATTTAGGGTTGAAATAATTATTTTTTATTATTAATGTCGGTTTAATAAATGACAACATAAATTTTTAATTATTAAAATAAGAGTGTCAAAAAGTAAAAATTGACACTAACTTAATCCACTATCATATATTAATTATGTCGACAAATATCTTTACAATACTTAAATGTCGGCTAAGAAGAGTCCGACAGTTATGTGTCAGTTTATTAATTTCCAAGATTTATGTGTCGGTATATTAATTTTGGACACTTGTATGTGTGTGTCGGCCGATAAAAATCTTACACTTGATTCATGCTCCATGCAGTCAAACACACGTTTATCCTATAGTTAGAGCTGACAAAATGGGCCAAAAAAACTCATAAAATAGACAGGCTTGGATTCTAAAAAACAAGGTCCGAAATTACCTTAAGACATTTTGGCCTAGTCTAGATAAGCCATGTACCTGGTAGGGCTTTAATCGAGATGGCCCATGTGAGCTTGGACAGCCTGAATTATATAATATATATTTTAGATTAATCGAGTTGATCCATTTATTATGTAGATGGACTTTTTATCTTTGGAACTTTGTTTAATTGTGAATTTATTTATATATTTGTAGACTTATTGTGTGTATAGAAATTAAAAAAAAAAATAGATGTTACAAAAAAAAAACTAGTGACCTATTACAACTTAAAAAAAAATGATCTAATACAAAAATTAGACCAAAAAAAAATGAGTGGTCTATTAAGCTATTACAAAAACAACCTAAAATGACATGTAACAAACACTAAAAGTAGCAAAAAAAAAGTGACTTAATGTTACAAAAACAATAAAAAAAATGACCTATTACAAAAATAGGAAAAAGAAAACAACAACAAAAATTATTTAGGCTGTTAGGCTAGGCTCGCAGAAGTCCATAGCCCACATAGGATAAGGCTTGGGCAACAAAAATACAAGCTCATTTTTTACCTTATGCTAAATAAGTCTGACCCATTTGAGTTTGCTATTTGTATCTAGCCAGGCTGTCCATTTTGACAACTTTACCTGCAGTTAAAAAATCAATACACTCTTTTACCCACAGGTCTTTACCCAATATGAAGTGTATATATATTCGAATTGAATGTGCATTCTTCGCATATTAGGAAAAGTTTGCATTGGAGAAGTTCAATTTGTAGAAGCAACAAAGAGAAGAGACTTTTAGGTTAGAAGTTTTAATTTTTAAAATTTTTGCAATTAAGATTTAGATTATATTATTATTATTGACTAAACCCTCATTTTGATTATCGAAAGAGTTTGTATCTAGCATTTTAGTTCCTGAAAATTTAAAAAGGTTGCACTAGTCCCTAACTCTTATCTTTGTCATTCATTTTAGTCTCTAAACACAGACTCCATTAACAAATGGTAACAAAAAGTTAACATGTCACGTTATGTGCCACATCAAAAGCCCAGTTGTCAGAAATAGTGTTGTTTTGAAGGGTTGAGAAAGTGAACATGGCAAAACGGTATCGTTTCTTCCTTCCTTCTATTATTGGGATTTCTTCATACCTACCAAACCGTAAACGTGAATTCCACCAAAGAAATTGAGCCTTTTATGATTGCTTTGGTAAACCCTTTTTCAACAATCATAATTTCTAAGACAAATGGAAGAAATTTAATATTCTCCATTAAAGATAGAAACCTTTGGTCCTGTTGAGACTCAACAATATCAACATATAGTTGAGAACCCTTATATGAGGTAGAGAAAAGGCTTCCAAATGCAAGGAGTGAGATTGATTCAACTTGGGAATTCAATCTAAGAGTTTTAAACACATTTTTCCTTCTCCTAACATAAAATATTTTCTTTTTCTTCTTCATTTGTTCATCAAGTTGAAATGAATCTAATATACCATCCTCATGACCATCTTCATGGTAAGTCCACACTGTAGTTTTGTAATGGAGACATGACGTCCACTCCTAATTAGCTTAATCACATGATCCCAAACCAAATTTTGAATACCCTTTGGATCCAGAACCCTAAACTTTGGGCAACTACCTAGGGTAACAACATGATGGTCAAGAATAGAAGGAACCACCAAAGTTTGATTGAGAATTTCAACCATTAAAAGAGCTCAGATAGCTGGTTAATGAAATTGTTGTAAGGTGCGTACCACATGAATTTCTCCCCTATGGCTAGGGCTTGGCGTAAGCATTGAAAATCTTCTAATGATGATGTTTTGGGGAATACAAAATGAGGTTTTGTATGGAAGAAAATATAGAGAATGAAAAAGGAGAGAAAGATTATAAGGAGAGACAGAGGAATGTGTGAGAATTTGTGAAGGGTTTTTCTTTTAGATAAAACTCTGGTTGGACTCATCACTATACTTTTTGATAATAAATAAATTCTTTTGCATCAATCAAACAAATAGAAAAAAGTGAATTCTTGATTAATCATAATCGTATATGAATCGATGAATAGATTCAAAGATTTGTATTGGAATAAAGGTAACAAGCATTTCAGAAACAGAGAAACGAGGAGAAAGAGAGGGTAATGCGACGACACTTAACGTGACATGTTAGTTTTCTGTTACTGTTTGTTAACAAAATATGCATTTAGAGACTAAAATAAACGATAAAGATGAAAGTCATGGACTAACGTGATATGCAAGATGACTGAAAATCAGCTTTCTATTAGTGTTTTATTAAGTAGTTAATCTATTTTCATTATTTTTTTGAAAAAAATTGATATGCAAGATGACTTAAATTGTGGTTATCTTATATTAGAATGAAAGAGTATACAAGAAAATGAGGGGATAATATTTGAAGGGAACAAAAAGATGATTAAGATAGAACGTGAAATTACCTTTGAGATGTTGAAAAGAAAGATACATAAAAAATTGAAATCGTCTAGTAGTACTATAATTTCTAAACTAATTTTACAAATTTTAGTTGATGCAAGAAGTTGAAACCACATAGGTTTAAATGTATGTGATGATGAAGACATTGACTCTATGATAAGTGCATATCAACGACGGCATCAAATAAATATTATTGAGTTATATGGGAATGTTGCAGTTGGTTAAACTTCTCGTGTTGTTACACAATTGTTAGCTTTAAATTTATTACTCTCACCTATTAATGTTAGTGACAATGAAGAAGAGTATGCAACTGGAAGAGTTAATATATAATATTTTTTTAAATAATATTATTTTCAAATTTACTAATTTATTAATAAACCATGACAATGTAGGATTTATAGATGAAGAAGATGACTATGAAGATGAAGGACAAATTCCTTTAGATAGTTCTTCTGATACTAATTTGAATAAAGATTTTGATTCAATAATCAATATTTCAAATATTGAAAAAATAGCAATGTGCAATAACAATCAACATGTATTATTTTATATAATCAATTATTTGTGAAAGTTTAATAACTTACATTGTGAAAGTTTAATACAGATTCTGTAACACCTTTGTGGAATATAAGTTCACACTACACTGAGATTAATTGGGAACACCCTGATCAAGAATTAAATTTTCTTGAGTTGCATTCGTCACAATCATGGACACAAAGAGATGCATTATATGTTAGGCAACTCTTTGACTCTAAAGAGGATATTAAAATGGCGATAAGATATTATGTAATGAGGAAACATCAAATATTTTTTATGGTTGAGTCAAAAGTGACAACTCATGTTATGAAGTGTGTCAATAATAATACTAGATGTTCTTAGGGAGTAAAAACAGTGTTGCCAAAAAATACAAATAAGTGGAAATTTATGAAATGGGATGATACGCATACATGCGTAAATACAATGATTTCTCAAGACCACAAAATGTTAGATTCAAATTTATTTGTTGATGCATTCTTGGTACGTGAATTTGAATTGATGTCATTTTTATTTGTTCTTTTAGAAATGGTATTTAAATATTATTATCTGGCACATATTACTTTTTATTAATGACAAGTATGGTGAAGTAAGAATCGTCAGTACCAGTTTCATTAATCCAAAAGAGAATAAATAGGCAATTTGAGTATTCAATTTCATACAAAAAAGCATGAAAAGAAAACAAAAAGCAATTGTGACAATATTTGGTGATTGGGATGAATCCTATGCAACATTATCAAGATGGTTAGAATATATTCAATTACAAGCTCCTAGGTCAGTTTACAAAATTGAGACCAATGATTATGTTAGAGGTAATGTAGTGGATAATAGATTTAGAGTCTTTCATTAATTGTTTTGGTCATTCAGGCAATGCCATGAAGCATTCAAGTTTCGTAAGCCTATAATACAAGTAAATGACATATTTTTGTATGGTAAGTACAGACAAATATTACTAATTCTACAACTCAAGATGACAATAAAAGTGTGCTTCCTATAACATTTGTCATTTGAAGGAGAAACATTATCAATATCGGAATGATTCTTAGTAGGGATGGCAATGGGTAAAGTACCCGATGGGCACCCGCAAAATTTACCCACAATGGGTAGGGTATTTACCCGCTATACGGGTACGGGTATGGGTGTGGGTAAAAACCCGCAAATTTTAATGGGGATGGGTGCGGGTATGGGTATCTAAGTACCCGCCCCATACCCGCATATATATATATATGCTTGAACTTTATTCTACAATTATGAATTGAATTTTTGTATTATTATATTACTTATGTGAAGTTATATAAGATTAATATAAAAATATATTTAATAATAAAGTAAACCAAAAAATTTATTTTGGTTT